GTTGAGAGAAAAAGTAAGGAAAGGGCTTTTTAGAGAAAATAGAGATTGAGTGCCAAAGTGATGTGAGAATAACAAATGAGAAAGGGTGGGAAACAATGTCTGGAAAAGTAGTGAGCTCCCCATAAACTAAGAGGTCTCCCATCGGTGGTAAACATCCGAGTGTTGTGTTTGTTGTTCTTGTTTGTCTCGATTCTTGTTTTGAGTCGCTATAGATGTGTTTAGGTTGTTTTACTTTGTTTTTTTCCTTTGCTGAGTCGTGGTGTACTGTGGTCAGTCGTAGGCTCAATATCCAGTTAAGAACTCATTCTTGGTTTGCGAAAAAAAATCATTTTGTGCTCAGAGTGCCGTGCTATGCTCAACATGATATGCAAAACAGGATTCGTTTTTTTATAAAACTATAGAAACAAAAGAGGGAAAACATAAACTAACACTCAGCAAGCATAAAAGAGCTTAGACTGAAAGCTTATGATTCAAAAAATCCCATTTTGAAAATTAGTAATCTCGGATCATTTCCAAATAAAAAAACTTCTAGATTCCTGAGGATGATCCTCAAAGGTACAAGAGTTGTGGCCTACCAAAGTCTAGGGAAGCTGAAGCAACTTCAACTGGCTAAGACCGATCCTATTTTCTGCAATAACTAAAAAAGAAGTGGCTAAATCAACCCCAAACAGCATTAACATCAACACTAGAACGGAAACCCAACCATGATTTCCCAACCAATTTTTTGTACCTTTATTCAGAGCATCAGAGGATGCAATATTGGGCTTCCATAACTCAAATTTGGTTCAACTTTCTCAACATACCCGTAAACTGTCTTCTACATCGGTCCGACATGACCCCGTAAACTGTCTTCTACATCGGTCCGACATGACCCCGTAAACTGTCTTCTACATCGGTCCGACATGACCCCGTAAACTGTCTTCTACATCGGTCCGACATGACCCCGTAAACTGTCTTCTACATCGGTCCGACATGACCCCGTAAACTGTCTTCTACATCGGTCCGACATGACCCCGTAAACTGTCTTCTACATCGGTCCGACATGACCCCGTAAACTGTCTTCTACATCGGTCCGACATGACCCCGTAAACTGTCTTCTACATCGGTCCGACATGACCCCGTAAACTGTCTTCTACATCGGTCCGACATGACCCCGTAAACTGTCTTCTACATCGGTCCGACATGACCCCGTAAACTGTCTTCTACATCGGTCCGACATGACCCCGTAAACTGTCTTCTACATCGGTCCGACACGATAAACTGTCTTCTACATCGGTCTGCCATAACCATACAGTCTTCTACAACGGTCTGACACGACCATACAGTGTCTCCTATCCATTTTTTATTTTTCAGATTATTTTCTTGTTTTGTTACTCTCTCCAAACTCAAGTTGGTTAGTTCCTATCCCCCTTGAGTTTGCGGGGGGCTGTTAAAACCTACCATCACCTACTCCACCTACTACACCTACCACCACCTACTTCCACCTACTACACACCTACCACTACCACCTACTACCATCTACTCCACTACATCTCCTATATAAGGAGCCCCTCGCCATTTGTAATAGATAACACAACAATATCAATCAATAATACAATTCTCTTTATACATTGAATTTCAACATCTTCAGATTCCTCGCATGCTTCTTTCTTAACCAACTTCATCTCTGAAGTTTCCATAATTTGGGAGCCAGATGTTGCTTCGGTGATAATGGAAATTTGACATTGACTAGGCTCTACTAAATCAGATATGTTACTGTGATTACTCTGAGTCTCAGCAAAGCTGTTTCCATTTCCCGTTTCTTCAAAAGAAGAATCTCCTTTGGCGTTCATAGAAAGATCTTCCACAAGTTTCACATTTGACACTTCGGATTTATTGGTAGGTAGAGAATCAAGTTTCTCTTGCAGGCTCACAAGCTCCTTTGCCACGGATTTCCTAAAATTCCTGACCGTTGGGTGCAAGCCCTGGTAAATCAAATGCAGATTAAGATCATTCTGATTATTTCATAACCAGAAAAAATAAGGGCCATAGGAAAAAGAGAAGATAAATTTTCCCGAAAACACTGAACAAATCCCACAAAGCTGGTTGTCTAGATGTATTTAAGAGTCCATCAACTACAAACATACAACAGATGGCAAACGACTTGACAATCATTTTACATGATACCAATATATGCATGGAAATTGTGTTCATGTGCATGTTTAAGCTTGGATGCATAGTGTTCAAGATCCTATTCATTTTTAATATCTTATCAAGGTCACAAATTAAAGTCAAGAAATGACTATATTTCTCTTTAAATTCTCGGTAATCAGCATCAATAAGAAAGTTCACATCAATCTTATTCGTTTCTATAAATTTTTCTATCGAAGTTTCATTATAATTAAAGGTGAAAACAAATTTTGGATAGTTCCACGATGTGCAAAATGAAACATACAAGTGGAAGTTAAGCATGTACAAGACATATTGTATACATACCTGAATGGTGTCTAGTTTTAGCAGAAGGCTCATTATGGTTTCTCCAATTATCAACTTTTGCTTGTCATCACTCCTGATATCAAATGAAGACTCTAAAGATTCAATTCGGCTTCTTATCTGAGCAGCATGCTCCTTCACTTCAGCAATTTGCTTCAGTTTCTTCAATGGTTCCCATTTCCTGACCTCAAATCCATGATATGCAGACTGAATAATCACTGTTGCTTCAGCCTCTGACAAATTCTTCCTTTTCGCTCTGTCTTCTTCCTTAGGAATCTCATTTACTGCCTTATTTGCTCCTTCATCATCTTCGGTCCGCAATTCACCATCACCCAAGTGACTTTCTACTGTTGCATCTGGTGCTTTGACTTCTTTGTCCTCTCTCACATCATCACATACTACAACTTTGCTAGTGTCTTGGTTCGTTGAAACATCTTCACCAGATTTAGGAAACAAATTCACAGGAGCTCCAATGGGAGTCTGAGCTTTGCAATCTTCACCAGTGTCTTGCTTTGTTATGCCATCCACTACCTTAACTACTTTTATCTTCCCTTTATTTGGCTCTACCTCCGCACTCTCTTTTATTGATGAGGTGGACTCAGACCTATCACCAAATGCTTCCTGTGCTTTTTCTTTGTGACTAGGACTAGGAGACCTCGAATCACCATGACTGTTTATCCTCTTTGGCAAGTGGTCAACTCTCAAACAAACTGGAGGTAGCTTAGACGTCTTTTGTGGAGAAGGGGACTGTCTTTTAGTACCATCATCAGAAGGCTTCTTATCTCCACTATGTTCTATCTCCTTCACAGTAATGCCTCTGGCTTTTCCCTCACCTTCCTCGGTCTTCCCCGTATTGTGTAGCTCTTCCTGTTGCTTGACATCATTTGTCTTCCCATTGACATTGTTTTCCGTCGCCTTCAAACCAACCTTGTTGCTAGGAAGTTGTGCCGACGCAACTTTCAAATTGGGAGATGATCTTTCAGCAGATTCGTGATCCGCTTTTGCCTCTTTATCACCCCTTGTTTCATCTTCTTCATGCTTGTAAGGCAACCAAAATATCAGAAATTGAAATTGATTCTTGTCCACGTTTGGTTGATCTTGAGCTCTATTTCTATCGCCATTTGGCTGATCTTGAACTTTGTTTCTATCACCTCCATGCTTCAGAGATCCCATGTTGTTGATGTCAAATGGAAACCACCCGCTCCTGACATTAGGCTCGTGTTCCAAATGTTCCAAATTTTCATGGGCTCTCATATCAGGAGGATACTCGTCCCTGTGCTTTAACTTTGGTGCAGTACTATCTCTTTGCTCTCTATTCTTCATGTCTTCTGGAGGAATCCATACATGTTAGTAATGGGCGCCCATGTGGCATGACCATTAAATTTGATTTTGAATCCTTATCCAAATAGGTTTTGATTTTGAAATGAAATTGAAATTGATTCTTGTCCACGTTTGGTTGATCTTGAGCTCTATTTCTATCGCCATTTGGCTGATCTTGAACTTTGTTTCTATCACCTCCATTCTCCAGAGATCCCATGTTGTTGATGTCAAATGGAAACCACCCGCTCCTGATATTAGGCTCGTGTTCCAAATGTTCCAAATTTTCATGGGCTCTCATATCAGGAGGATACTCGTCCCCGTGCTTTAACTTTGGCGCAGTACTATCTCTTTGCTCTCTATTCTTCATGTCTTCTGGAGGAATCCATACAATTGGATATGGGTAATTTTTAAACTCAACGGAGACCAAAGAATGATTGCTTTTGTTTTTGACCTCTGGTTCCTGTTCTTCAATCTTTACATGCTTATCTTCTTTCTTATTGCACGAGTGATTAGGGCATCCACAACAGTGATTCTTTTTATATTCAAATCATGGCTGATCCACTGAATAATGTGCGAAAGGAACATAATGAACAGGATAGGTTTCTGGGAAAGAAGGATAACCTCCGTGACACTGAAACGGTGATGGCGATGGAAAATGAGGATAAGGAGGTCTGAAACCCCCATAACTTGGGAAATGGTTATGGTTGCAACAACCATGACATACCACAGGAATTGAACAACCATAGCTGCCACCATAAGGCCAGGTTTCATATGTTATAGGAGACTTAGATGGATCCACATTGACCTGAGGTGGATATGGAATACCTTCGAAGCTCGGATAATAATGCTGTGTATATGGCATTTGATTTCTCTGATGGGGAAACGAGTCCATGCATCTGTAGGCCGGATACATCTTATAAACCTTTTCGAATCGGAACCGCCTGCTAGTTTATTTCTTCAAGAGTGAAAATCTTTCTCACACACTGAACAAAGAGAAGAAAAAAAAAAAAGCAAATTAATTTATAGATAATAATACACACATACTACCTGTAAAAGTATCCTTATGAGCAACAGATTTTTCAGAAGAAGATTATTTAACTTATTTTCCTTTCAACAAGAAGTAAACAGAATATGATAGCAATAAGAATAGGTTTTCAATTGACAAATAGAATAAAATCTCACATGGAACCAAAAACAAAAATAATATAAGAAAATCAATTATGTATTAACCAATCCCCTATGTATTAACCAACTGCCCTTTGGCACAATTACAGAACAAAATCAAACCAACAAAATTGGATTTCATTAATTCACTTACTCTCTATTTATGCTCATCTTGTCCTCTTCTTTTTCTTCCCCCTAATTTCTCATTCACTTGCCTACTCCCCTTCACTCACTCTAATAATAAACCAGGCAATCATCACCCCCACCATCATCTAAAGAAACCCTCTTTAGCATCAAATTAATAGACCCAATCCCTTCCCACTTATAACTTATATTCAATGTGTTAAATATCCCTTTCTCCAAGTTGATGACTAATATGATTCAACTATATGTGATGATGTTCTCTGTTGTTTTGTACATCAACTAAACATATAAATAAATATAGATCTACATATCATTAAATTTACATATGTAACACAATAAAATAAAACACATTAGCAAATAAGAATCCAAATTTAGAGAAACTGCAAACAAAAATCAGAGCTGGAATATACATATCATTAAATTTACATATATAACACAATAAAATAAAATAAATTAGCCAATAAGAATCCAAATTCAGAGAAACTGTAAAAAAAAATCAGAGCTGGAAGTGTTTTCACATAAACTAGCAAACAGCTTAAGTCTTGAACCAGACTAGTCCAAATTGCAGCTTTCAAAAACTGGCCTTTTCAGCAACTTCTTATAAAACAAGCATTAAAAATTCTTTAAATTTAAAAAATGACCAAGATGGATAAAAGATTATTTGATCAAACAATGTGGCTGAAGGAGGACTTAACAATTGCTGCCTAAGGAACAATTGGGTTGGTTTAGATGAAGCTGAGGGCTATGTGCCCGGGGCAATTTTTCTTTGGCCTTTTGTGAGTTTGCAGCTTACTTTGCATTTTTTGGATAGTCCTTAGTTGTTCCTTGTTCTGTACCAAAACCCTTTGGTAAATCACTATGTCAATGGCCAATCTAATTCCTTGTTTGAATTAATGTTCTTGTACTACTTAATCTAGAGTAGAAACTAGTCAATGGCCAAATGGTATTTTCTCTTGAAGTGATTACATACAAATAAAAAATTCATATAAATACGATTCAATGGTATAACCTTTTACTTTAAAATAAAACACTTATAAAGATATTTATATTTGTAATAATGTCACTACCACATCATTAAAAACTAAAATGGTACAAGGGATGAAAAATATACTCTTTATTTTCACATTTTTTTTAATTTTTTTTTTAACCTTTCTAGGAAGCAAAAATAATTTTTGAAATGGTCTTTCTGGTGAGTTAAAGTCATTCATGCAAAAACATACAAGATGAATATATAATTATTTCAAAGAAGGCAGACTAATATACAGAGATACTGTCAAACCAACACAATCAATGAAAATAACAAAGAAACAAAGAAGAGTTGTAGATATTATTACAAGGAAGGATACAACAAAACTCAATCCCATATCAGATTTAACATAATCACTCACATATGTAATTTTCACTCTTACACTGCAATTCCATGTGTTGTACCTTTTAGAGCATCATTTGCATGTTTAACACAGGCAGATCCAGCTCTGAACCGCCTTGTCCTCCATGACACTGAAACGGTGACGGCGATGGAAAATGAGGATAAGGAGGTCTGAAACCCCCATAACTTGGGAAATGGTTATGGTTGCAACAACCATGACATACCACAGGAATTGAACAACCATAGCTGCCACCATAAGGCCAGGTTTCATATGTTATAGGAGACTTAGATGGATCCACATTGACCTGAGGTGGATATGGAATACCTTCGAAGCTCGGATAATAATGCTGTGTATATGGCATTTGATTTCTCTGATGGGGAAACGAGTCCATGCATCTGTAGGCCGGATACATCTTATAAACCTTTTCGAATCGGAACCGCCTGCTAGTTTATTTCTTCAAGAGTGAAAATCTTTCTCACACACTGAACAAAGAGAAGAAAAAAAAAAAAGCAAATTAATTTATAGATAATAATACACACATACTACCTGTAAAAGTATCCTTATGAGCAACAGATTTTTCAGAAGAAGATTATTTAACTTATTTTCCTTTCAACAAGAAGTAAACAGAATATGATAGCAATAAGCATAGGTTTTCAATTGACAAATAGAATAAAATCTCACATGGAACCAAAAACAAAAATAATATAAGAAAATCAATTATGTATTAACCAATCCCCTATGTATCCCCTATGTATTATCATCTAAAGAAACCCTCTTTAGCATCAAATTAATAGACCCAATCCCTTCCCACTTATAACTTATATTCAATGTGTTAAATATCCCTTTCTCCAAGTTGATGACTATTATGATTCAGCTATATGTGATGATGTTCTCTATTGTTTTGTACATCAACTAAACATATAAATAAATATAGATCTACATATCATTAAATTTACATATGTAACACAATAAAATAAAACACATTAGCAAATAAGAATCCAAATTTAGAGAAACTGCAAACAAAAATCAGAGCTGGAATATACATATCATTAAATTTACATATATAACACAATAAAATAAAATAAATTAGCCAATAAGAATCCAAATTCAGAGAAACTGTAAACAAAAATCAGAGCTGGAAGTGTTTTCACATAAACTAGCAAACAGCTCAAGTCTTGAACCAGACTAGTCCGAATTGCAGCTTTCAAAAACTGGCCTTTTCAGCAACTTCTTATAAAACAAGCATTAAAAATTCTTTAAATTTAAAAAATGACCAAGATGGATGCTTTGAAAACACAACAGAATTTGAGCCAGTTGGAGCCTATGTTACACGGACTCTTCTATTTCCCCCAGAGTACCTGTGTCCACCGGATATGACAAGGGTAAGGGTGTAAGATATGTGTCCGACACTCTTACCCAATTTAGACACTCAGATCCTTTAATTTGTGACAATACATGAAGAAGAAGAAACTCATATTTGTTAGTAAAGCAATATTTTTAGACTAATAGATGAATTAGATATAAAAATTTCATATTTTTTCTCAATCATATTTAATTTTGATATATTTCTACATAATTTAAAATATTTCATCCGAAAATATTATATAATATGCAATATATATGTGCATATGACGTGTCCCCGTACCCATATCCAATTTTGGATACATACCTCAAGATCTTAAGATTTAAATTTATGAAGGTCTGACGCTTGGATACACACCCATACCCGCACCCGATACTCATACCCAAGTTCATGTAACATAGGTTGGAGCTATTAATAGGCACTGATCTGATCTTTTTCTGACAAAATAAATACTACTCTATACACAATAGAGAATGACCCATATTTTATCAAATGTTTGATCACTTTCTTTGTATCATAAATATGCTGTTACAGAAATCAGAATACATAATCGCACTAGCCAAACACTTTTCCAATCATTTTAACTGTATTCAGTTACTTGAAATGATTTCGAGACAATGCAAAACAAATTAGCCCAACTACAAACCCACCATGAAAAAGGAAAAATTAGAACCTCGGAACATGCAGTCTATGTACTTCAGACCACATTCACAAGAGAAATCAAATAACACTCGCTACAACATCCAAAACCAATATCAAATCAACAAATTACTATAACAACAAATTACATACACAATTCAGATCAATGCTACAAGCCTTGATTTTACCACTTTCAAACAAATGGACCATTAATATGACAAATTTTCAAAAAAAATTAATTACTACATCAATAGATTGAGTATTCTTTGTAAAAAATAATTGAGAGCAGCTATGATGTAAACCTTAAAAAGGTGCATATAGAACACACTCTACCACTAAATACCATAGACCATTAATATGACAAATTTTCAAAAAAATTAATTACTATATCAATAGATTGAGTATTCTTTGTAAAAAATAATTGAGAACAGCTATGATGTATACCTTTAAAAGGTGCATATAGAACACACTCTACCACTAAATACCATAAAATGATTTACAACCTAGTTTGATTTTTAGCTTTCAAAAACAGTTTATAAGTTTTTAATTCGTATTTTTATATTTTTAATGATTTTTAAAAATATTGTAATCAATTTTTTTTTAAATTTTTAATTTTAATATACTCAAAAAGAAAACAAAATATAAAAATGTATTAAATCTTCATTTTTTTTTTGTGTGTAATTTTTATATTTGGTAAATTTTTAAAAAAAATTTATAATAAATATCAAACTTTTGAAGTATATTTAAATTAGGTGTATTTAAAAAATAAAAAAAATTATGTAAAATATTAAAAAAATTTACTAAAAAATAATAATTTCAATTTTCTGAAACCAAATATGATAAATATTTCTTACCACAAATAACTCTTAACAAACCCAATGAATTTGCCATTTGTAACTTCAACCATAAACCAACATAACACACGCACAAAAAAAAAAAATAATGGAAACTTTCTTACAATTATTTTTATGGAGCAGCACATCATAGATTTCATATAAAATTTTATAAAAAGAAAATATCTCACGTCTCAAATACCCACAAAATTCAAAATTTCCAAATCATATAAAAAATAATAATAAATCAAAAAATAAATGCTATTTATTACAGAAAAAGAAAAAAAAAATTAATATTTAAAATTTCAATTAGTATGGTGTGAATTTAAACTTGATCCGTATGTTTCAAATTCCTCGTACGCTATAATGTTTAAAATTTGAATATACGATGAGAATTTAAACTTGATATATAGAGATCCGTATATTTCAAATTCCTCGTACCACATAACAATGGTGTTTACAGAAATGCAGAGCAATGCAGAGAGAGTAAATAAAAGAATTAGAGAATCCATGAAATCACTTACAGTTTACAGAAGATGATTGAAGAAAGAAAAAAAACCTCCAAATCGCTCCACAAATCCGAATGACTCAGTTGTCAGAACAAAACGATCCACCAACCCAAAACCTGAACCTAAAAATTCAAAGCTCTGTGCGCTCTCTTATCGATCGACCAGTGTTCTTCTCTGAATAATCGATTTTCCAAATTCGACAATATATATATATATATATATATAGAGAGAGAGATTGTTCTCCAGCATTCCAGATGTTTTGCGTGATTTCAATTCGTTGAAACGTCTCTAGATGTTTCGCGCCACATCAGTCCTCTTAGATTTTGCCACGTGTGAGTCGTAGTCGATAAGAGCTGTCAGAGATGGACAGGGATTGTGCTCATCGGCAACTGGTTCTATTACAAAGTATTTGCAATCGGGTAGTTGTACGAACCCAATTCGTGAAGATGTCTAGACTTTTTTTTTAGGAAAATGAGTGGGAGCTCTAATTAGAGCTACCACTAATGATGCATCCACTGCCACAGGATGTATTGTGTCTGTTGTTGTTGTTGTTGTTTTTTTTTTTTTTCTTTTTTCTTTTTTTTTTTTACTTTTCCACCTCATTAGTGGTGGGTTTAGATTCACTAAATTAGTGGTCTCTATCATGATTGATTAGTCTATTTATTATGCAACCTAATTTTGTGATATATTGTAAATCAATAAAAAGAAACACATAATTTTTTTCAAAAAGTCTACATAATGTAGCACTAGCAGTAATGCATTCATTTTAACGGAATGTAAACTTTATCTGGGACGAATGTAATATTGTCAACAACTCCATTTTAATACAATATTAAGTACTAGCGTATGCCCGTGCCTGAAGGCACGGTGTAATTAATGATGACATTAAAATATAAATCAAAATTAGAGAGTGATGTATTCAAATTTTTTGTTTTGTTTTGTTTTTTTCTCTTTTCAAAGAGTAGGTAATGAATTCACAGGAAGAAGAAAAATCCCTAAATGAAGACATGAAACTTAAATGAAACACCAATTTATTAGTA